TTTTGTCACCACCACATATATATATATATATATATATATATATATATATATATATATATAAATATATATGTTATTTTTGGATCTATAGCAAAGTACCATGATATTACCACCATAGATGCATAGATGTACCACGGTAACGTACTACTACAGTATTTTTTGTGTACATATTTTGTGCATAACATGTTCTGAGTACAATGTAATATTCAATCAGATTTAATAGTCTATGTATCTGGTGAAAAAAAATTCTATATTAGCAATGTACTCATCTACAACACTCTATCAGAATATCAATAACTTAAATATTATAAACATTTCAAACCGAAAGAGATCGAGTAAAACGTTTTAACGTTACATGATGAATAATAATGCATTTACCGTCTTCGTCGATATGAGTGGACGAAAGCAGGGGTTCTGTGTCTTCATGCGTCCGTCGAGGCATAATAATATTTCAAATGAAACTATGAGTATAAACTACATGATCGCTGATCAAATGATTAAATTCACTCCTGTACTTCCGTAAACAGACGCTTCGGTGGGCGCGGTTTGTGTTAACGTCACACCAAGGCCCGTCCCTCTCACGCGCACTTCCTCGAATTTTCTCCGTGTAAAAAATATAGATCTCCATAACGACTGAACTCAAGCGTGTTTTATTAAAAACAATTATCAGTGTATAAATAAAATATTATTTTGCAATACTTTGGGAGTGGTCTTGTGGGCGTGACGTAACAGAGAAAACCCCGCCCCTCTTGACCACCAGGCGTCGCTGTTTCCCACGTTCTCTCTCTCTCTCCGTTTCAGTTCAATGTCGCTCTGTCATTTTTCTCTCTCGCGCTCTCCGCTTGTAAAATAAAGTTTTTTCCTGTGTATGTGTGGAGCTGAAGATGGCGGCCAGCTCGGAGCGCAGTCCTCCGCCTTTCCCGGACTCAGAGGAGCCCGAGCTGCTGGAGGACAGCGACGAGGGGGCGGATGCGTTCACGGGAACGGTGAGTAACGGAATTAAACGCGTTTATAAAGCTGTAACGTTATACCCCATACAGACAGACAGACAGAAAAAGAAGAAGACCGACCGACTTTCACTTCTCTGACACCCTCAGACCTGCCTGTTCTTCTTCAGCCGTAGATCTTCAGCTCTGCTGGTTTATACGGAGTTTTCTGTTATCATATTTGCGTAATGATTTAATAAAGATACGTTTTTTCATTATCTCCTCAGATTTGGTCCTTCCGCAGGGTTAAATAGATCTGAGTTTAGGCCTGCATGTGACATACTTAAGTTCTTGAAGGACTCTTGTAGTTGAGTAAATAATATCAGAAGGAATGTGACCCAGTTTTCCAAACTTACTGAAGTCACACTGCTAGAGAGAGAGAAAGAGAGAGAGAGAGAGAGAGAGAGAGAGAGAGAGAGAGGGTGTATATGTGTGTAAAATAAACATGTTATGTCTAATAAAGGAAGTGTGACAGTACTTGAACTTGTTTATGCAAAACCACCCAACAGACTGTAGTTAATATATTTTTTATGCTTGTAAAATATGCATGCATGCAGAGCAAAACTAAAATAACTCAAATATGAGTACTGGGAAGGCAGCTCTGTCTCTAATGAATGAGCTGGTGTCCAGCAGTCAATATTTACTTAGTGTAATAATTCCAGTCTTTTCAGGTCAAAGTACTGACGGTGTGATCATGTGAGTCTCAGATGTGAGTGAACGCCTCAATGCCCTTTTTCCCTTAGCAAGCTTTTATTTTGGGAAGATTTTGCTGTGTGGGAAGGAATTTACAGTTGCTGTACATGAGTCATGATAGGGTGGATTGGTGGTTAAAGATCTGGGCTGGTAACTGGAAGGTCTTTGAAGGTTTGAACCCAGCGTGGGTTGATTCATGAGCTGTACCGTTGTACCGTTAAAGGCACAATATTTAAGATTTTTTAATTAAAATATCCAAAAACCACTAGAACAGTTATATATTTTGCTGACTTGTGTACTTACATTATCCCAAATGTTTCGAAGAATGTTTAAATCCAGAGAAATAAGCAAGTTTAACTAGTGACACGGACTAGTGTCCATAGTGTCATTGTGTCGCCTACCAGTGAAGTCATAACCCCTCAATTTCTGGTTTTGTTTTGTGGAAAACATGGAAATACCAAAGACATTTTAATATGTTGTGCGTTTTAATAGACCGGTGACGACCGCACAGAGTAGCATTATAACAGAACTTTCAAATGTATCTAGTATGATAAAACAGCGCTGCTTTACCCCACATACACACGACCGGAAGGAGCGGAAGCGGTCGACTGTGGCGTAATAAAAGCTCTGCTGCTTTCGAGTCGTGTGTCACGCTTGTTCAGCGCCTCGTTTCGCTTCGACGGCTTTCAGCCTCACCCTGCTTCATTCTACTACGTTAATAAATCATTAACTCATCCATGAACATGATTTCTGTCCGAGTCCCATCGGATTGCATCGGCTGTGGGGATGATTCCACACTCAGTCACGGCGTCATCAAACTACGCCTTTGCCTCTTTGTTTATTTTGAATACACGCCCTCTAGCGGCGAAAATTACATATTGTGCCTTTTAAGCAAGGCACTAAACCCTGGCTTAATCCAGGCGCATTGCCCCCAGTAAGCAGGTTTTAAAACAAATGGTTTATACTATTCATGGACATTACGTCGCGGCGCAGAATTCATTCTGGTAAATGTGTGCATTAAAACGTGTTGTGATGGGGGGCCCTGCAGTAAGTCATAGCCCCGGGGCCCAGTGCGGTCTTAGTGCGGCCCTGATTGCCCCTTTAAGGGTTTTTAGAAGACGCTTTGGATGAAAGCGACTGCAAAATGACTACTTGCTATCTCATTGGTGGTTTAAAATATATCAATATAATTGATTTCCAAAAGGATGATTTTCATTACTGAACAAACATCACATTATAAATATATAATGTGATGTTTGTTCAGTAATGAAAATCATCCTTTTGGAAATCAATTATATTGCTATATTTTAAACCACCAATTGTACAAATGCACAAATACATAAAATAACAAACACTAAAATGTTAAATATTTTACAAATGAAATAATGTATAATTACTGTTACAGTAATAAAAATTTGTGAAAATGTTCTTAATTTTTAATGCAAGCATAGTGCTAAAGTAGGTTTCTTTATTTATTAATTCAGCCAGTTGTACAAATTCAGAAATGCATAAAAATAACAAATACTAACATGATAAATATTTTACAATTTAAATCATATGTAATTCTGTTACAGTAATGAGAATTTGGTTGTAAAATGGGCTTAATTTTCAATGCAAAAAACAACTAAAATAATCTTTTTTTATTTATTTAATTATTTTAAATCACCAATTGTACAAATGCACAAATACATAAAAATAACAAATACTAACATTCTAAATATTTACAAATTAAATACTATGTAGTTACTGTTATAATAATGAGAATTTGGTTGGGAAAATGTGCCTAATTTTCAATGCAAAGCAACATGAAATAACAAATATCTGTAATAACCTGATAAATATCAGATAATTGTCGCAATAGTGAAATAGCATTAAAAAAAAACATTAAATTGTTTATTTTAAATCACCAGTTGTAGAGACACACAAATACATAAAATAACAAATACTAACTTGATAAATATATAATTACTGTTACAATAATAAGAATTTGGGTGGAACATATGCTTACTTTTCAATGCAAAATAAAATAATAAAAAATAAAAATAGATTCCTTTATCTATTTATTGGTGAACTTTAAGCAGGCATATTGTGAGATTCAGCCTAAAAATGTTTAATGTATTTAATTAAATTCCATGCCAGATGGAAAAGTATTGCACAGGCTGTTGAACACAATCTAATCTTGTTTCAGCTCATAATAAATATATTTATAGTAATTTTACAACATTAGCTCTATAATAATTTCTGTGCTGTTCCTAGTCAATCTCAGAGATGGATTCTCCGTCACCGGACTCAACCAAACCTCCTAAAGACATCTTCAACGAGCCACTAGAAGACATCTTCAGCGATCCTCTTAGCAACGTTAACTCTGAACCCCAGAAGAAAGTAGACACCAAGATCCCTTCACCTAGTAGCGATGAGGCCGTCGACCTGTTCAGCGACCCATTGGACGATGATAGCGAAGTAGTTAGTTCACCTGAGGTCCAAAACCCCATGCCAGATCTCTTAAACGAGCCTGTACAAGCGCCAAAGTCCGATGTCCTCGGTGAACCACCTGTGCACAAAAATGCCGCCCGACAGCAGGATATTTTCGAAGACCCTCCAAAGGGCAGCAGCAAAAGCTCTTCAGTCAAGAAAGCAGCGAGCGCAGAGCTGTTCAGTGATGAGGATGAGGAGGATCTATTTAAGGAGCTGCCAAAAGTTGTGACGAAGAAGCCTCAGCCTTCAGGACCACCTGTCGATGTTTTCACAGAGGTGAAATCAGACGTGAAGGTCAAGCCACAGGTTAAAGACGACCCCACGGATCTGTTCGCAGAGGAAGCCTTGACTGCACCTGCCCCGAAACCCTCCGCCAGCAGCAGCAGCTCCAGGACCAATGGGGTTCACTCTGAGGAGCACGATCTCTTCTCAGGTACGACACATTTTACCTGTGACACCAGATCATAACTGGCACTTCTGAAACCTAATAAACTGCCTACATAGTCAGCAGTTTTTGGGTATCGTAGGTATGTGAGACTGTTCGAATTAGTGTTAATTTTGTCAGCTATTTTCAATTTTAGTCTTAGTCGCGTGTTAAATGTCCATGTTAGTTTTGATCATATTTAGTCAACCTTATCCTATTTAGTTTTGGTCAAGGTTTAGTCGACTATGGCCTGGTTTCACAGACAGGGCTTAGACTAAGCCAGGATTAAGTCTTAGTTCAATTAGGGAATTTAAGTAGCTTTTATAAATGTGATTTATAAAAAAAACATTACTGGTGTGCATCTTGAGACAAAACAATAATACTGACAAATTTTAAGATATGTCAGTGCAACTGGCTTTCAGTTAAAACAGCTCAAATATGCATTTTAGTCCAGGACTAGCTTAAGCCTTGTCTGTGAAACCGGGGGTAAAAGTCTCAACATTTTAGTCTAGTTTTAGTAAATGAAAACTTAAAGTTTTAGCAATAAGATTATTATTAATTAACCGTACAGCAGTGTTAATTTTGGCAGCCATTTTTAGTTTAGTCTTAGTCTTACTCAAATGTACATTTTAGTTATCATATTTTATCAACCTTGTCCTGTTTTTGTTTAGTCAAGTTTAGGCCACGAAATGTAGGCTATGAGCATTTTAGTCAGATTTTAGTCAATGAAATCTTACTCACATTTTCGTCACGCTGTATAATGGTTAAACTGATTAAAAAATATATATTATTTGCATAAAATAAGCAAAACACCGGGCAGAAAATGTATCCTTGTAACAGCGAAGCTATGATTCGTGGATTTGAACTCTTGATATCTGGCAGCCGCACTCATGAAAGCTCGCGTTGTAGAGACATCTTCAGCGATCCTCTTAGCAACATTAACTCTGAACCCCAGAAGAAAGTAGACACCAAGATCCCTTCACCTAGTAGCGATGAGGCCGTCGACCTGTTCAGCGACCCATTGGACGATGATAGCGAAGTAGTTAGTTCACCTGAGGTCCAAAACCCCATGCCAGATCTCTTAAACGAGCCTGTACAAGCGCCAAAGTCCGATGTCCTCGGTGAACCACCTGTGCACAAAAATGCCGCCCGACAGCAGGATATTTTCGAAGACCCTCCAAAGGGCAGCAGCAAAAGCTCTTCAGTCAAGAAAGCAGCGAGCGCAGAGCTGTTCAGTGATGAGGATGAGGAGGATCTATTTAAGGAGCTGCCAAAAGTTGTGACGAAGAAGCCTCAGCCTTCAGGACCACCTGTCGATGTTTTCACAGAGGTGAAATCAGACGTGAAGGTCAAGCCACAGGTTAAAGACGACCCCACGGATCTGTTCGCAGAGGAAGCCTTGACTGCACCTGCCCCGAAACCCTCCGCCAGCAGCAGCAGCTCCAGGACCAATGGGGTTCACTCTGAGGAGCACGATCTCTTCTCAGGTACGACACATTTTACCTGTGACACCAGATCATAACTGGCACTTCTGAAACCTAATAAACTGCCTACATAGTCAGCAGTTTTTGGGTATCGTAGGTATGTGAGACTGTTCGAATTAGTGTTAATTTTGTCAGCTATTTTCAATTTTAGTCTTAGTCGCGTGTTAAATGTCCATGTTAGTTTTGATCATATTTAGTCAACCTTATCCTATTTAGTTTTGGTCAAGGTTTAGTCGACTATGGCCTGGTTTCACAGACAGGGCTTAGACTAAGCCAGGATTAAGTCTTAGTTCAATTAGGGAATTTAAGTAGCTTTTATAAATGTGATTTATAAAAAAAACATTACTGGTGTGCATCTTGAGACAAAACAATAATACTGACAAATTTTAAGATATGTCAGTGCAACTGGCTTTCAGTTAAAACAGCTCAAATATGCATTTTAGTCCAGGACTAGCTTAAGCCTTGTCTGTGAAACCGGGGGTAAAAGTCTCAACATTTTAGTCTAGTTTTAGTAAATGAAAACTTAAAGTTTTAGCAATAAGATTATTATTAATTAACCGTACAGCAGTGTTAATTTTGGCAGCCATTTTTAGTTTAGTCTTAGTCTTACTCAAATGTACATTTTAGTTATCATATTTTATCAACCTTGTCCTGTTTTTGTTTAGTCAAGTTTAGGCCACGAAATGTAGGCTATGAGCATTTTAGTCAGATTTTAGTCAATGAAATCTTACTCACATTTTCGTCACGCTGTATAATGGTTAAACTGATTAAAAAATATATATTATTTGCATAAAATAAGCAAAACACCGGGCAGAAAATGTATCCTTGTAACAGCGAAGCTATGATTCGTGGATTTGAACTCTTGATATCTGGCAGCCGCACTCATGAAAGCTCGCGTTGTAGAGGCGTGTAGAGCAGTCTGCAATAACATTTTGTCTCCTTTTTTTGATGAAAATAAAGAGGTTTTTGGAAAAGTTTTTATTTTTTTTCAATACATTTTAGTCTTGTCTATTTTAGTCAATAAAATTGCATGTTGATATAGTCATAGTTATCGTTTAATGACCTTATTGTCGTCCACTTCTTCGTCTTGTCTTAGTCACGGGAAAAAAGCTCATCAACGAACATTTTTCATCATCCAATTTCTCGAAAAATGAAAATTATCCCATGATTTACTCACCCTCAAGCCATCCTAGGTGTACATGACTTTCTTCTTTCGGACGAATATCTAGATTGCTAGTGGGAGTTAGAGATTTTGGTCTATAATGTTGCAAATATGGGTATTTTCTTACACAAACGCAGTAATTCGCTTCAGAAGACCTTTATTCACCGCCCGGAGCCATGTGGAGCACTTTTTGTGATGGATGGATGCACTTTTTTGGTCTTCAAAATCTCGACCCCCATTCACTGCCATTATAAAGCTTTGAAGAGCCAGGACATTTTTTTATATAACTGCGACTATTCATCTGAAAGAAGAAAGTCATATACACCTAGGTTGGCTTGAAGGTGAGTAAATCATGGGGGGTTAATATTCATTTTTGGATGAACTATCCCTTGAACCATCCTGAACATAGACATAGCATTTTTGAGCATCATATGTACCGTTACTTTCAGATGTTTAAAGGGATAGTTCACCCAAAAATGAAAATTGTCATCATTTACTCACCTTCATGTCATTCCAAACCTGAAATACTTTCGTTCAACACAAATGAAGATATTTTGAATGGGGCATCCATTAGTTTTATAATCTCTTAATGATCTTTTTGAAGCTTCAAAGTGGTAGTTGTGTAGACTGTGAATGGAGGGACAGAAATCTCTCAGATTTCATTAACAATATCTTCATTTGTGTTGCCTACCTAGACAGTATTTTTTGTGCATTTTTAAGCAAGTTCAGTTTGTTTAAAAATATAGCTACCTTCCTAGACAACATTTATTTTGTTTCACAACCTAGTGAGCTGCCTACCTAGACAACATTTTTGAGCATCGTAGACATGTTCAAATGTTTAATTGGAGTCTCAGAACCTTAAGAGCATTTTAGGTATTTTTAAGCAAGTTCAAATTTTTTTTTTAAACTTAACTACCTTCCCACATGACGTTTTTGGGCCTCATATGTGCGCTTGAATGTTTTGCATTTAAAAGTTCGATTTGTGTTTCGAAACCTTGTGAGCTGCTTACCTAAACAGCATTTTTGGCCATCATAGGCATAAACCTATTTACGCCCCTTTCCAAGACATTTGAACATCATATATACATTTAAATGTTTGATTTAAGTTCCCAGACAACATTTAGGCTTTCACAGGGGAATTTAGTCGAGGGAATTCAGGGAATTCAAAACAAACATTTGGACCAGTGTTTTATTGTTAAAGGGATAGTTCACCCAAAAATGAAAATTCTGTCATTAATTACTCACCCTCATGTTGTTCCAAACCTGTAAGACCTTCGTTCATCTTCAGTACACAAATTAAGATATTTTTGATGCATTCCAAGAGCTCTCTGACCCTCCCATAGACAGCAAGGATATTACCACAATCAAGGCTCAGAAACGTAGCAAGGACATCGTTAAAATAATCCATGTGACATCAGTGGTTCAATCGTAATTTTACGACACTACTAGAATACTTTTTGTGTGCAAAGAAAACAAAAATAACGACTTTATTCATAATAAATGAATTATGGCGCCATTTTGGAGAGCATCACACATCACAACATATGCAACGTATGTATACGGATACGCTGTTTATGTTCAGATCAAAGCGTAAACAACGTAAACAGCGTATCCTCGTACATACGTTGCATATGTTGTAATGTGATACTCTCCAAAATGGCGCTAGGGTGACGTGGAGGAGACGAATTGTTGAATAAAGTCGTTATTTTTGTTTTATTTGTGCACAAAAAGTATTCTCGTAGCTTCGTAAAGTTACGGTTGAACCCCTGATGTCACATGGATTATTTTAACGATGTCCTTTCTACGTTTAATAGTTTTTGTTGATTGAAATAAAGCTGAAAAAGTTTGAAGTAATAAAATTAAAACTGAAATAAAAATAAAGCTACATAGAAATATTGTGAATATTTCTAATGAAAATGACAAAAGCTCATAACAAAATTACTCAAACTTAAACTTAAATTAAACTGAAAACTATTCAAAATATTAATAAATGCTGTCATAATATATTAGTAAAACTAAAATAACACTGAATTGATGTGCTGTAGGGTTTTCAGGCTTAGTGTTTTTTCCACAACGAAACCTTTTCCTGCTGTTGACTCTTTTTACTGGAACATATATTGTACGAACAGGAATGCATGCACATCACTTTTGAGCGATGGATGATGAATTCACTTTCTCAGCGTTGACTCAGGAAGAGGAAAAGGAATTCCTCAGTGACCTTTACCCTCTCACCTTGCGTTATGTTGCTGATGGAATGTGTTTTGCATGTGTGTGTGTGTTTGTTTTCTATGCTGTGCTAAAATCTAAATTCTAAATGCACTTTCTGTCACTGTTTTTCTCAGAAGCTACAGTGGAGTTGTCTCTGGACAGTCCTCGTAATGACCGCAAGAAGAAAGACGCTGTGAAACCGTCAGTATCGGCTCCTGTGGCCCCTGTAGCCAGCAGCTCCAGTAAAGCTCCGTCCAAAACCCTGGAGGAGGTAAAACACTCCCTGAACTTATAAAGAGCATGGGATTCGGCTGTTTAAAAAACAAAATACTGAAACAGAATGATGTTTGATTCCTTTAATGACCAAGTTCACATGCAATGACTCTCACGAGCTGATTCTTTTTAATGAATCAGTCGAAAATGAATCAGGCTTAAACTCATGCATTATTTATTTCTGTTTGATCTAAAATTCACTTACACACCAAATTTATTTAAATATACTAAAAGAATCAAATGGAATCCGAATCAAAACCAGATTTGTTAAATTTCTTGCGATTCCCATCTCTAGAGATCTGATCAAACCTTCACGCACATCTCAGAAGCAGTTCTCGCTCGGTTTCACTCTTCCTTTCTCTTTTTTTCTGTTTCCTTTTTTCACATAAAGCTGGAGGAAGAGGAAAGTGAGGACACGTTTGATCTGAACATTTCTGTCACGAATCCAGAGAAAGTCGGTAAGAACATCCTCTGCTGTGACAGCTGGGTTTAACTTTCTAATGTCTCTTTTTTTTTTTTTTTTTAATACTGTGATTAATACTGTGCTCAGAAAACATTCGTTTAAAATAGCGTTTGAACCCAGTAGTGGGCTGCTTTTGCAGAAAACCGTAAACTGATTATCTTCTAATTAAGGATCTGAGTCACTGATACGGCTGTCTGGAGCTTCCTCTTTTTGCCCTGTGCCATCTATTTTTCATTTCCTGTCCTTCTCCTTTTTTTTAAAGGTGTGGTGTTACTGCAATGTCTAAAATCAGCATTAAATGTTAAAAGGAAGATGTGTAGTATTTCAGTTTGCTCACCTACTGATTGTTTGGCTATTTATGGCATTATGGTTTTATAGACAGCTATAGAGAAGACGTGATGAGTTTTGGTTGTTTGTTATTCAGCAGACACTGATTATTATCTAGTTACAATTGCAGAAATACATTTGCTTTGGAGGATCTTAGGGCATAACTGTTTAGCATAGACAAAAGGATTTTAATGTACTATGCATTTTAAAGCAAAACTCTCTCCCTAATCCAACTAATATGCGTATGCATATGCTTAATAATTAGCCAATTATAACACAGGTCATTTGCTTTTTTTTTTTTTCCAGTTTAAATTTTTCTAGATTCCATTTTAATGGTGAAATTTCATTTTGGTAATCAGAAAGCATGTCTAATTAATTGGAATCATGAAACGTAAACAGTTTAATGACAGTTTATTGACAGTTTAACAGAAATTACATTTTTAGGGCCCTTTCGAAATCTGTTTACTTTTTTTTTTTTTTTTTTTTTTTTTTTTTTTTTATTTTTAAAAAAAAAAAAAAAACTCTAGCTTTCTATTCTACTTGTTTTTCTTTGTTTGTGTATATATATATATATATATATATATATACACACACACACCTTGCTACGTGTACTGCGTTAGGCTAACCGAGACTTGTCATTTGCACTTATATATTGTTGCTCATT